TGCGTTGTTGTCAATAATGCCACCCAAAAGGCTTCGCCCTGCGTTTGTGTGGCTACCCGTCGTTCTTTTTCTGCGTTTCCTTTTGGAACCTATCTGCAACTCTCTTCAAGCCAATACCCGTCGTCAAAATCCGAAACAGACAAGCTCCCGGCCGGCTTGTCGATATGATCTACAGAAGCATGACGCCCGATTAAGAAATCGTCTGTAGCGAGCCATGTACTCTGCTTCCGCCATCGGCTTGTACTTTGAGGCTGGAGTGAGGTTGGCAGAGGCCAGACACGCCCCTCCACCATCGCCTACTCTGCAGTAGACCTAAGGATGTACTTTCCTTTCCCTGCGAGAGGCACATGCGTTTCAAGCAAGTATACCATCCCCGGTTGTACACATGTCAGGACAGACGCTTCGAGGCCTGGTCCATGGCAACAGTATCTCTTGAGAAGATCGGTGAGCGCGAATCCGGCCCTCCTCCTACCTCTTGCGTCGTGCTGCCTACGGCCACCGCTCTTTTGACATAACTGAGGTGATCATGAGCTCCCAAGTTCCCCAAGAACTGCATCTTGGCAGGAAGATGGTGTTGCGTGGTATGAAGCTGAAGTGACCACTGGCGACACGCCCCGTGTACTCGCCATCTCAACAGGAACGCTCGTCGTTGAGCAGCTGAGTCAAATAGTGTCAACCTTCACCGCTAGGGAGAGATAGACGAGACACACCCGAGGATGATGCCTGGGGTCTCGGCAAAGACACCTAGCAAGCTAGTCGGAAGACGCATCCGGGAGCGATCGGACCCCATGCTGCCGCCGCTCAAGCTTCCAAGCGGACGGAATATCACATATCGAGCTGTAGTTGAATCTGAGCCAGGTACAATAATCTTGTTAGTCAATGTCGTTGTGCCGGCCCCTGATGAGGGCATTTTCAACTGGTCGTGCCACAGTGGACGGGATTTGTTGGGTGGAGACGTATGACGGCGGCACGGTCGTGCCAAGCGGGCCTTCTTCAGCGCAGCGTCACACCAGATCTGCCTCTCATTCTGCTGTTGCGGGCTCTATCCTGTGTGCGGATCCCCTGGGGCTCCAGGAGGGGCCCACGGAATCGCGAGGCTGAGAACAGGCGGGTAAGAGCGGATGTCTGCTGTTGAGCTGCGTGATGATAAGGAATCAGCCGATCGAGGATTCGCCAGTGAGCACCGCGAAGACCTTCTCGGTGGCCCAAGGTATCAAGCGATCGAGCCACCTAGGCAGACAACGCAGTGAGTGGGAGCGGCGAGACGCCAGGTACAAGCACGTCAGTCGGCTTGCATGTGCTCATGACACAGGATAGACATTGGGCGCCAATGGCTGTTTTCTGATACGAGAAGTTTTCTTCAGCTGAAGCCGCCAATCTTGGCCGAGCATGATGGTCAGTAAAGGCTCGCCGTGAAGCGAGGGTTTTCGCGAGCAGTTCGTACGATAGGCAGCATTCAAAGGCGAAGCGGCAAAAGAGCGTTGAAGTTGGACTTTGGGAGCGTTGAAATGGTGTGGCAGCTGTGAGATGAAAGTGACAGGGGTCATTTTGTCATGGATTCGGGGCTAGCCGCTGCGCTGACTGGCTCGCAGATTTGATGCTACCCAGTCCGTGCCAAAGACATGCAGATGATGCATCCCGCAGCAGCTAGGCAAGTCTATCCGGCATTAGCTGCCATCGTGTATCGGCCGCAAGGCGGGTGGTGCGGATCGGTCTCTGGTCAGGTCGCAGAAACCAGGACCTGTCGCAGCCTCGACCCTTTTTGCGACCCGTGAGGAGACCAATTCCTCGCCTCTGGAAAAAAGAAAATGCAAATGACGAAGCCCACCATCAATAAACCTGTTCCTAGAGGCGATGATGACCTGCAGCTCCTCTGTGGGGAGAGGCCTTGTCGGGTCTCACTTTTCCTTCCACCACCACGCCGAGCGCGACGCCAGCGTCCACCTCCGATGACTTCTCGGCCGCGGAAAAGGACTCGTCGCCCGAGAATCTCCTGTAGATCGACGAGTCGTCAGCGTTTGACAGAGCACAGACTTAGCATAGTCCCCTAGGCGAGGGGCCCGGGGCCAAAAAGAAAGGGATGGGCCTTCTGACTCCGAGGGACCCAGTCAGCGGTGGGCACTGGACAGCAACATGGGCTAGGATGAGCCCAAGGTCCCTCATTGGCAGAAACACGACAGGAGGCGGGAAAATCCATCTTACCATCCCCTCTCTTCGCCTCCGCTCAAGAAGCTGCAATCGCTGTTGAGTTCGCATACCCACCCTCCTCCAACTCCCCGACCATTTCTCCAAGAAGTGGTTTCTGCTGGGGCACCAGCATCAGAACCAGGACCAGGACCTGTTGGTTGTCAATTGAAAAGACCCATTGCCTGATGATGACGTAGGGATTCGAATCCTACCATCGGTTTCTGACGCTCGTTCCGAAGAAGACGGTGATTTTCTCCGGTACATGCTCAACCCACAGGTGAAGGCTCGGAAGTCTTCCGCATCAATGTTCTCGGGCATATTTCCGGTAAGCACCCGACCAAGCGCAATGATTGAGGCTGCGTGTGAACACAGGACGACGGCGCGCTTGCCCTCGGCATCGCATTGTTCAATAATGGCTTGAACGGCGGCGGCGACGCGGTCGTGCAGTTGAGCGATGGTCTCGCCCTTGCGGGCGGGAAACACGCGGCTCTGATACGCTGCATCGAGGTGACGGAACATGGGCTTCAACACATCCGGCGAGGCCGGCGTTGGGTGGTCAAACGGGGCGGCTCCATACCATTCGCAGAGACCATGCTCGGGGCGAATAACGGTGGCATCGCTCTTAGCGCCAACGTCTTGTTGGGCGCCTTGGTTGATTTCGTCCTCCTTGAGGGAGACAAAGGGCGTGATGGTTTGCAGACAGCGGTAGTAGGGGCTTGAGTAGACGGCATCGATTGGAGGCTCGACGGTCAGGAGGTGGGCGCCGAGTTCCTTGGCCTGGTCGACGCCGTGTGCCGTCAGGGCCGGATCCGAGGGGATTCCTGTGGGCGATGGGATGGAGGCCGTGTAATTGCCCGTTGATGGGTCGACGAGCCAATTGGATCGGAACTGGTGAAGGCCAAGGCTTATTGTCAGAGATGATTCCGGTCAAAACCAACAAGGCCAACTTCCAACGTCTGCACACGCACACCCGCACCACCTCGGGACAAGATCGTCGAGTTCGAGAACCGGATGGGGCTAGGGGCTTCGGGCGTCGTGGGTTCAAAGCTCCTAGCGAGGGGGGGCTGAAGAATCTGTTGTCCCCAAGGAGGGAACTTGACCTTGCACAGCATCCGCAACCACATTGGCATCCTCGTCCCTCATTGGGACTTGTGAGGGCCAGGGCGGAGTCGCAGGTGAATGAAGAGGGGATGGGGACAGGGACGGGACCGGAGACGGAAATCGAACCGGATACGACAGAAAAGAGATGATAGGTAGGTAGCAGGCAAGCTGGAAAAGGGAAGCGAGACTTACTCCATGGCGAGTGATGTAAATTACTTCGAGTGACATAATGGGCGGCTGCGTCGCAGACTGCACTGAGTGAGGTGAGGTGAGGTAAGATGAGGTGTGTTAATTCCGGCAGGCAGGACGGATGCAGTAAGGTAAATCGACGGGTAAGGTAGGAATGGGGTCCCTTTTCTCGTGATTGTCGTGCGCGTGTGTGGTGTTGGTTGCCAGATGAAACTGGAAAGCGCAGGGTATCGAGGTGACTGGACTGGATGACTGGGTATCCGTAGGTGTCCAACAGCAGACAAGGCAAGGCAGGCAGGCGTGAAGAGATGTGAATCACCGCAGATAAATTTGCGGGAAGGATCCCTGTGACGGCTGCTTGAAGAATTGAAGTCAGAAGAAGGTGGGAGGAGCCCGGACCAGTTCCCCGAATGAAGATGGCCGGGACTGGACCGGGAAGGGAAGGGAAGCCACTGGGCTTTTGCCTAGGTAGGTCGTTGCACAACGAATAGTCGCCAACAACCTCGGCTGACAGCAGCCCGCGCTCCACGCCGTTGACGTTCTGCACCGTCCATCTCAGTCTGCACAGGGCACCCTCAGCACAGTGAGTGACAAGGCCGATACCTGCCCTGGTGCCCATCGCTCCCCCGGGGAAGAACCACCCTGCGCACCGAGTTGCGCCAAGTGGGTCCCCTTCCTTCAGCGCCTCGTGGGAGGGCCGCCTGTCATACACATGACTGCCCGAAACCCAACCGGACTGGCCACAGTCAACATGCAAGCCGCATCTCGGGTTGGCAAGCTGGCAACCAGCGCATTCACCGGAAACCTCTAAACGGATGGCCCAGCGTCCCATTGCACCACCGGTCAAGATCCCCGCAACCTGGGATACATCCCTAGTGCGAGTGACCGATCACCAGAATGTGATAGCCCACCCTTCCGTACCTTACCTGCCAACCTGCCTCCCACTCCGTCCCTGACTGACGCCTCGCCTGGCCTTGTCTACCTTACCTACCTCAGGTCGGGTACCTTAGGTTGTCTGTCGCCTGTCACATCACTCTTCAGCCTGCCCTGCTTGCTTCCCGCTGCTTGGGCTTGCTTGCTTGCTTGCTCCTGCTTGATGGCCACTTCAGGCTTCAGGCTTCTAGCCTCTGCACATGAGTATAAATAAAGAAGAAAAAGGTACTTGGCAGGTACAAACGTGTGAAGCACACCCAAGAACAGGGGTTGCAAATCTCCGCGACACCCTCTCCGCGCCGGGGAACTGTGACTCTGCAGCAGCGTATACATAATCATGTCATAAGTATTCCCATCAAAACACAGTAAAATCAAGACGGGCTCATCCAGAACATTGGCCAGAACATGGGCAGATAAGCCCGCCCGCCTTCGCCTCGCCTTCGACGGTGGTCCACGTCAAACAGCTGCCAAACACGAACCGAACCCGACGAGCCCCCTCACTTCCGTCATCATTAGACGCAGCTCGCTCATGCGCGTCTCCAGCCTTTCCCCACGCAAACGTGCCTCGTTCTGGACTCCTCCCGCCGTCATTAATGATACGAAAGCTCCGGGTTGGCTCGAAAGTTGCATCGGCAGCGACACTCGGGCACAGGGCACTCGACGTGTCTCGTGAACCACTGTCTGGCGTGGTCCAGGTGAAGCACATGCTCGCACTTGAGGCAGAACGTCGGGAAGTTGGCCGCCATCCAACTCTCCGGCTCGCCGTTGAGCTCCGGCCGGTCAGATCTCGGAACGCCAACCACCTCCAGGCACACGACGCATCGCGGGAGGTGACGCCCGCAGTTGGGACAGCTGATTCCCGCATTGATGCTCGTCGCCATGAGCGGGTTCCGCGAGTCGGGTGCTCCGGGAGGTGGTCCCGCGCCAGGCCCCCCTTGCCCTGCGAGAGTCGTCTCCGCGTCACAGTAGACGCACCGAAGCGCAATCTGCCGTGACGGCGGCTTGATTGTCGGACGTCCCCCACGTTTGCTCTTCTTTGTGCTTTCAACCTCGAATTTGGTTCGTTGCAGGAATGCCTTGTGACGCTGGAGGTATGCTCTGTATGCATTGCGCCACGCCAGGCACCGGTAGTCGTCAATGTATCGCGGCGCGCATATTGACATGACCAGCGTGGCCGTCTGGAAGTCGTTGAACTTCTGGACGTACTTGGCGAAGATATCCACCAGCCGGTCCGTGATACCCGTGAGAACGATCCCTTCGACGTCTCCGGTATCCACTGCCATCGAAACTTGTTCATGCAGCCATTTGGTGAGTTGTTCGTCGTCAAAGTTCCTGACGGCCACGTATGCGCGGTCCGATAGAGGCAGCGACTTTTGATTCGCAATGGCAAACCAGTCCCCTGTAGCAATCAGCGACGAGATTGCCCTGAGGTACGGATCCGTCTTTGACGCAACGGCTTCGTCAAAGTCCAGCTGTTCTTTGCTGAGCTTGTTATTGCTCCTCCCGATGAGCTGCAGCGCGAGCGACACGAAGAGAAGTTCTGGATGCGTCACACTGGCCGTCTTCAGTATTCGAATCGCCTCTTGGGTTTCCCCTTTGAAGAGAGCTCGAGCCGCCGCCATGGTGTGAGCCGTCGTGGGATAGTCCTCGCCGGGGTCGTGCGTAGCCCCCCTCGCCTCGTGTGCTGCATTATCTCCCCATCCGCAAATATCCAAGCATAACTGCCTGTGAAATGGCTTCTTGGTTTGAGTACCCTCGTATTTTGGTAGTTTTCGTCTCTTGCAGATGCTGCCAATCGTCTTCTCCCAAAGCGTTGTCTCGGGCATCGGCGATGCCTCAGGTAACCTCGATGATGGCTTCTGGCCTACTCGTCGTCAGTGACAGCGTCTTCACCCACTGCTGTAGATAACCCACCTAGATCATTACACCAAATTGTACATACACCCATGTAACTCAAGTCCAAAGGGGATAGCTTCATGCCCCCGTCCTGGGCAGCATCCTCCGCGTCTGGTCATCGTTAGCTTTGAAGCAACAGAGGGACGTAACAACTTGCCTGCAATCCAATCCCACAGGTATCGCAGCCAGGGGTCATCGGCAACCACTGCCCGGTTGACATTGCAGTCAAATAAGTACTTCTCCTTTGCGCGCAAAAGCATGACATGGTCTAGGAGACACTGCGACTCCGTAGATAGGTTTTGGGCTTTGAGGGTCAGAGAAAGTAGCGACTCATGCATGTGGCGGCAAGACACAGGCCCGTCGTAATGGAGAGACAGCTGAGCCAGGGAGCTTATCGACTCTTCCAGATTCGAGCACTCCGCCCCGTTCATTTCCAACTCTTTCGCCCTCTCTTTCAAATCAGAGCGCAACGCGCGCATCCTTTCCGCCACAGTCTTGGACTTGTCAAGAGCAGACGGGGACCGTTCATTGCTTCCTGTTAGCCTACTGTTGAGGTCTGCCGCGGAGAATCTGGCCTGTAGCGTCTTGTCGACAATAGTCTGGACATCGACTTTATCTGGTCCAAAAATAGCTATATCTGAAAGGGCCTCTTCGACGAATAATGGACCTAGCATATCCGAGGATTGTGATGGCTCAAACTCCATGATGTTGTGATATGGGCTGCTCTCTGTACCACGTTAGTGGGAAGTTTCCCGTGCGATTAGGAAACGTACCCTCGAGACCGCGATGAGGCGGCTGCCATGGCGTTAGCTTATACAAGTAGTCGGACGTATACGATGGTTGCTCAAGAATCTCAAACGTTCCGTTGGCGCGCAAGACAACCAATCGAGGTTGTAGTACAGCCGAGTCCAGAGTGACCCAATCGAATGAGACGATCCGGTCGTTCTTCTTCCCGCTATCACCATACTGGACATCCATGTCGTAAGACTTGTGGACCTCCAAAAGCTCCGGGCTTCCCTCGAGAGACATGTCGGGAGGTGTGAGCTCCTTGTTTGTCTTCAAGACCTTCAACTGCCCAGTGCGCGACAACACAGCCAAAAGACCGCGGTGGTCTCTACAGTAGCGCAAAGAGCGAACGATCGAGTGCTTGCTTTCGCTCAGTGATGGGTCATCGTCGGAGTCGACGACCCTGTCAAGCCTGAGGGCACCACCCCACGGAAGCTCGTCCTCATCCACTGCTCCAAGATAAGAGTGCGAAGCAACTGGGCGGGATGTTGCCCGACGGTCCCAGATCATGATGCCTGGCTGATCCAGCGCTGACGAAGCAAAGTAGTTTTGGTCAGCGTAGTCGATCGCCAAGTTGTTGTTGCATTTGGTTTGAAACGTGACGACACCAATGTTCGGTTCTATAGACGATATTAGCAATGACCTGGGTCATGTGGGATTCCACAACTCACCTCGCAGATCGTGGATACGTAGTCCTTGAGCCTTTATACCAACGACCAACGTCTTTGGGTTGTCCTCGAAGAACTTGACACTTGACACAGATACACTAGGCTCCAACCTGTACGCAGGATCCGTGAAAGAGTGCATATCCTTGGAGAATCCCTTGGCAGACTTGTCCATCGACGACAAGCGGTTGACGTCCCATATGTGTAGGCACTGATCCATGCGCACACGATCCAAACCGACCGCAAGCAGACCCTCGGTGTTAAACGCGACCGCCTGGCACGTTCTTGTCATCTTAAGGCCCAGCTCGATATAGGCGTTCGAGTTGTCGTCCATCCTCAGCAGGTTCACCACACCCGTCTGAGTTCCCACGGCCAGCAGGCCTGGAACCGTGGGAGACCAGTCATACGTGGTCAGGGTCGGGAAGTCATCGTGCTTTGATAGCCGTTCATAGTCGAACTTGCTCCGCTGTGCAAGGCCGTTGGGCTCGTACAGCTGGACAACGCGGTGCTGTAGGTTGATGTGGATGAAGCTATCGTAGCCGGGGATTTGCGACCATTTGATGAGCCCAGGCTCCGGGCGGTCCATGTCGACCACGCGAGCCCGAACCTCGCGGCGCGCCTGTCGCGGTGCTTTGCGTCTGTCTTCACTCCAACCCAGCCACCGATGTGTATCCCCACGACCCACAATGCAGTTGATGGACTATGAGGTGGGATGGGATATCGTGGGTGAGAACGATGATTGTCGTCGCTGACGTGCTCTTATGATTTTGGAGGAATTCTTTAAATGCTGCAAACTATTATGGTTGGAGATACGATGTTCAATTCCTTCTGTCGCAAAGTTGAAGGCGCTGTGAGTGTGTCTATCTGAACTTACTGAGCTTGGGCTACAGCTTCATTGAGCAGTTGTGATTGGGACCTGTCATTGGTCCGAGCGGCTCAACTTCCGCGCTAGTCCCAAACGGTGCTGATAAGAAGTTCGGGGTGGGGTCGGCAACCTCCAGTCTTCGATAACGATCCAAATTTTTGAACCAGAGACTGACTGCCCCGAAGCCATCACCGCGCATTCTTCCATCCCAGTCAAAGTCACGCGCAACAGCCTACCCACGCCTTCGCAACAACAACCATGGGCACGAAACGCTCACACTCCGAAGTCTCGGACGTCGCAATGGACGACGCTCCCCGCGACGGTTCCCCAGTCTCAGACCACAACGACGGAGAGCACGACTCGAAACGCTCCAGAACCGGCCCCGGCGCCACCAAGAAGAAGCACAAGGCCAAGGAGGGCACGCCGGCATGGAACAGAACGCGCGCACGCACAATCAGGAGACTGCTGCAAAGCGGCAAGGAGCTGCCCGCTACGGTGCGGAATGACCTGGAGCAGGAGCTGGAGGCGCTGTCCGAGAAGGTGGATGAGCGCGACTTCAAGAAGAAGAGGAGCAACATGATTCAAAAGTACCACATGGTCAGATTTTTCGGTACGTCTCTTTCTTTCCGCGTCGGGTTGTTGAGCAAGCTTTTGACTCATGTTGTGATCAGAGCGGAAAAAGGCAGAACGGCTCCTCAAGCAACTCCGCAAGAAAATCGCCCAGTCGACCGACGCAGACGAAAAGAAGCGTTTCGAGGCCGAAGCCCACGTAGCCGAAGTGGACGTCGCCTACGCCCGCTTCTTCCCCCTGATGGAGCGGTACGAGAGTTTATACCCGAACAAGGACAAGGGCCAAGATACCCCCAAAGACGACGAGGCGAAGGAGGAGAAAACGAACGACAAGTCCTTCAAGCAGCCCAAGGCCCTCCGCGCCCTGCACGCCGAGCGCCCCAAGATGTGGGCAACGATTGAAAAGGTCCTCCCCGAGGGCGAAGCAGCGCTGTACAGGTTACGCGACCGCAAGTCGCCGACGGATACCGGAGCTGCGCCAAAGAAGCATGCGAAGAAGAACTTCTCAGCGGCCAACAAGACGAAGCCCAGTTTCCCTGCAGAGAATCATCACCACCACCATAAGGATCGCGCAGTAAACTGGAAGGACGGCGGCAAGGCGAGGAAGTGGCAGGCTCCTGCACAGCAAGAAGAGGAGGAAGATGACGGCACGGGCTTCTTCGAGTAAATCAGGGAAATGGTCATGGTGTTGAGCGTTTATGGTCGTCATTTGTATACCCCCTAAAAGTGTACTGCATAGTATGGGATAGCGGTAAACACAGCCAAAATAGTGCATCTATCATCTGCAGCATCCGTTGGTCGCAGGGCCATGCTTGCCCACTACGGACGCAGCCAATCGACTGAGAATCGTTCAACATCAACCTGTTGCCGATCCTCTTTCATCCCAACTTCAATGAACTCTAAATAACACGAGTACCGTCGTAGATGTGAACAACGCGAAACCTTCTCCCGTGACGACGAATGACTATGCAATGATTACTCTTGACTTCTGCATATCCAGCGACCGCAGGCGGGTGCAATAAGCAGTCGCAAGGTGTATGTGGCCCTGCCGGCCTCCAGCAGGAATCCCCGAACCTCTGCCACACAGCAAGAGCACGCCAGACATCTCACGGAACCGCCCCCCACCCAATTCACATCTCCTTTCCACCGCAACAACCCTCTCACCTCTGCTGGCAAACAAATCATAAAGAAGCGGCGCACCTCCCGTCCCTCTGCGTACAACCTCTAGGATCCCGTTTCCAGCGATAGTCCAGGCCCAGCGCCTATGCCGTCGGCATAGCACCAACCCCTCCCTGGCCACCAATCTGCCCCTCACTCATCAACATCCCACAATGTCAAACTCAACAGCAACCACGACGCCGCCCCGCGTGGACTGGGCAGCCCTCAAATCCTGGATCGCCCAGAAGGAGGCCTTCGAGTCGCAACACGGCCAGCCGGCCCCTCTCTCAGACGAAGAAGCAAACGCCATAGCAGTCATCCTCCGGCCCCCGCCGCGTGCGGAACCAACCCTCGGCGGCCAGAACTGGATCGGCGCGCTCAACCGTATGTCGTCCCCCCTCGCAAACATCTCCGTTGAACTCACCAAACAACGCAGACTGGCTTCAATGCCGCTCCCAGAAGGCGACATTCTCAGATGAAGCCCGCCAGGACCCGCGCCTTGGTAAGGCCCCCGAGCTCCGCTGGGCCTGCTTCGTCTCCTTCGACGCCACGAACGACAAGTTCCCCCGTCCAGGCCACGGCGTAGACCCGGCCACGCCCAACGCCAAGAGCCCAGACTTTACGCGCAAGCAGGACGCGAAACAGTTCGCGGCAAAGTGCGCCTGCGAGTGGCTCATCAACAACGGCCAGATGCTCCCCAGCGGCGAGCTGCCCAAGTTTCCCGCACCGTTCGGACCGGCCGCCGCCCCTCGGACGTCTCTTCCACCCGCTCCCGCCGTCCTTCACGTCCCCGCGCCGGCCACCGCGCCGGCCACCACGTCCGTCCCGGCAAAGAGGGCCCCGTCGAGTTCACCCCCGATATCCATCACGGACATTCCGCGAGTGAAGCAGGAGCCTCTCCCGTCGCGATCCTCCCCATCACCAAACCCGAACAAGTCACCCGCTCCAAAACCAAAAACAGCAAAGACGCCCCGTACCACATCCCCTCCCAAGCCGTCCTCCCCCACGGCCGCCGCCGCTGTGAAATCCAACCCGAGCTCCGCTTCGTCCTCTGCGCCCGGCACGCCCGCCGGTGCGCCCATATCCGAACTCCCCCTGACGAAGCAGGTGGAGAAGCTCGCCTCGCGCCTCAACCTCCCGGTCCCCCGCTACGTTCTGACGGAAGACCCCGAGCTGGGCGATTTCTGGCACGGCAGGGCTGAGTTTGACAACAACCCGCTCATCCCCGAAGACCTGGGCTCCGTGAGCAATGTGTATACCAAGAGGGCCGCAAGGGAGAAGATGGCGCAGGGGATTCTGGAGTGGATGCTGGCCAAGCAAGATCAGAGGGAGCGTAAGAGAAAGGCTATGCTTGGGGAGTAGGTTGAGGAGCTCACGCTAAGGGAGGAGAAGTTTTTATATACTCTAGGAGTTTATCAGGATGTCACAACGAGTTGAATCACCTATTATCAAGGAGCAACATGCCTCAAACACAACGATGATATGCCATGAGTGAGATGACTGCCGTCAATGTCTTGTCATTGTAGAGTGAGCCCTCACAGTCTAGCACATCTTTCATCTTCTCATAACCCATTCGTCATCACCAACCGCATCACGACCTCCCTCCCCGTCCCCTCCCACCCCGTCCGCCCCTACCCCCCTTCCCAGGCGGCGCCCTCATCTTCAACCCCTCAGGCAGCCCCGCAACCCTCTCCCCATCCCTCCACAACGTCCCAACAACCGCCTCATCCCTTCCCCTAACCTCCTTAAACAACCTGCACGGCACAAAACCCTCCTCGTCCCCCTCCGTCAACACGACCCCGTTCTCGCTCACCCACCACTTCATCCCCTCCGCCAGCGCCGCCTCCACGTCCACATACACAAGCACCTCCGCGTCCCTCCGCATCCCGGACACCACCCCCTTCTCATCCGTCGGCAGGCCCGTCGCGAAGTGCACATGGTTCCGCCCCATCCGCCGCAGCCCGCCCGACTCCTCAATCTGCCGCCAGAACGCAAAGTACGTCCCGTGCACGACCACCTCGGGCACGTTCCCGCTCTCCGCCGTGATGGGCGTCAGCAGCGCCGCCGAGTCGAGCTTGATGCTGTGCCCCTGGTTCGCGCGGATGAGCCAGTGCGCCGGGTCCGTCGAGCCCTCGTCCAGAGCCGGGTTCGTCGCCTCGTTCGGCTTGAGCGCGAAGCGCTGCTTGTCCGACGTCGAGACCGCCGCCTTGATGTCCTCGAACGTGACCTTTAATGACTTGACGGGCCCGTACGCGAGCTTCATGCACCCTGCGTCAGCGTCTCCCTGAATTTCCCTCTGCCTCCGTCAAAATGCACTCACCACCTTGTCCAAGGGAGCCCAGCCGCCCTCCTCGAGCTTGATCCCCGCGTTCTCCGCCTGGTGCCGCAGGAGCTTCGAAAGAGCCTTGGAGACGAGGACCTCTCTGCTCTGTCCGCCGCCGCCGCCGCCGCCGCCGCCGCCGCCGCCGCCGCCTCCTCCACGGCCGCCCCTACGTCCTCCCCTACGGCCCTGCTGCGCCCTGTCTTCGACCGCGGCCGCGGCCGTCTCGTCGAATTCGTCAGCCATGTTTCCAAACCCTTGCCTTGGTGTCGCGGTTGCTAGTTTCGATGTAATTCGTCGGTGAGTGTGAGCGGGCGCAAACGTTCTTGTCGTCTCCCGCTGCCGCCTCGTTTGGGTTGCGAAATTCTGAAAAAAGAAAACTCGACGCGCTACTGTGGTACGTCTCAATGATAGCGAATCGGTCTTCTTAAGAAAACTCGAGACCAAACTTCTCATGGAGATTTACGCAGATATAATGCAAGTCCGGGGTGTAACGTTGAGATGAAGTCGGGAGAGGAGGGGTGCGGTTCAGAGGCCCGCTGAAAAAACTCATCGGGCAGTGACTGACACTGGCTCAACCCTCCTGCCTGGCTCACCTCAAGCCTCACCCGTCGCCGGTGACTCAAGCCTGTCAAACGACAACCAACCAACGCGAGTTCGGAGAAAAAAAAAAGCTAATTATTCGTTATCCCTTCGTCGCACGGATCCAAGTTGGGATCTTGGAATCTAGAGACAAAGCGCATCTGACATGTACCTCTCACAATGCAACTGACAGCGGCTCGTCGCGGTTAACGGAACTCAATTGACACGCATTTCCGGAAGTGTCACGAAGCAACACTGCTGGAAGAATAACAAGACATACATTAACTTTTAGCTTCTACCCCTTCCCAAAACACCTGACTCAGAATGATATCAACGTCTGCCTAGGTCAAAACGCCAGCCAGAGTCACAAATCAAGAGACTGTTTTTGACCAATGCCGGAGCATGGAGGCTCCCATCCATAACGTTTTGTTTCCCGTATGGGTTGCTCGATATACAAATGCTCCGACCTTCCCAAGGAGTCGGCAAGTCCAACAACAATCAACCGGCCGTCTGTCGTGGTTGTCATACAAGTACAAAGTGACGATCGCCGAGCCCATGCGGTATAACCTATGCCAAACAAGACTGACGCCAGCTCAAAACAAAAAGATCTAATGGTACATTCATCCATCCATGTGGGTGTCATTCGTCAAGCGTTATCGATAGCTGCCCGCCTGAGCAGCAGTCGATGTATTCGTAATCGTGCTGTTGCGGTTGGTTCTGCGGTTGATGCTGCTTGCCCTGTTCAACAAGGACGTGTGGCTGAGCGAAAAATGACGCGGTTGCGGGATAGTCGGCTGTGCACGCTCTTCAGGCTTCTCAGCTGAGCTAGGGATTTCCCGCTCTGGAGTTCTCTCCAGATAGCGACGTGTGGCGAGAGATGGCGTAGAGGGTGCGACCAGGCGGGAGGTGATGGCGGATGCGCCAAATCGCCGGCGGGGGAGAGCGGAGGAGGCAGGCGACGACACTTCGTTTGCTGCCGTGTTGGGGTGGTAGGTGTGGGATACGGATCGGCCGGGTGTTTGGAGTTCGGTGTTTGCCCGCGACGGGGCGCGGAAGCGCGGCGATTCATCGTCGTCATGGTTCTCGCCAATCGTTCCTCGGCGTGTACGGAGAAGGGACGTCTGGCGGCCGCTTTCCTGGCGAGGTTCTTGGCGGACAAGCGCACGCGAGTCCTCGGGCTCTTCGGTGCCGGCGCGTCTCGTCCTCAGCAGCAGCGAAGACCGTCGTCCATCTTCGGGTTCCTCTGACGCGCCCCGACGAGCTCGGCCAATGAACAAGGACGATTTGCGGTGCGCGGTTTTCTCTCCCGGCGTGGAGGGGATAGTGCCAGGTGGCAGGGCAAACCTTGGGCTCTGAAGAGCGCTGGTGTTGAGCATTGTGTTGCGTCTTTCCTCGTACTTGGACAAAGCCCGGGGACTGGTGATAACCGCACTGGGTTTCGGCAAGGTCTGCTGCTCTGGTACGGTTGAACGTTGTTGGGCAGTCGCTCCTGACGCCGCAGAAGATCCTGTCCCCCCCGTGAACGATTTATCAATAGTTGGTGTAGATGGAGTCGTCGTCTCCTTGGGTGTCGGTACCGTCAGCTGGAGTGTCTTTTCACGCGCGCTTTCCTCGCTCAAGGCCAGGACGAGCTCCGTCAAACTCCGGCAGATACTATCCGCCTTGCGTCGCAGTTGGCGATCCGTCAAGTTAGTACCCACGCCGATCGTGCTTGCTCCACTGGAAATAGGTCCAGGCTGGCCTGCCGTACCCATCATATTGGCGAGCGCGAGTGCTTCAGTGGCAGCCGTTTCGAGCGCTCGTGCTACCTCATCACTGAGGAATGGCTTCGACTTGTTAACAGCTGAGAGCAAAATCGGCTGGTGAGCCTCGCGCTGCGATGATGTAATGCTAATGGCGTCCGACTTGGGGTGATTGCTGCCGGACGTTCTCTTGGGCGACGTAGACATCGTGGTGTTGGTAGCGGTGGGGGGTCGCTCGTCGGAAGCACGCGACATCGCGGCACCTGATGTCTTTGGCAACTTGCCTGTCAATTCCAACCGGTGAATTCGCGACTTGAGATCGTCCAGCTCATCCCATACTGTCGAAGGTGCGGTCGTAGATGCAGTCGCCGTCGATTCGGTTCCCTCCACTCCGTTGGCAGCTTCTTGCTGTTGGGTTTCCGTACGCGGTGTCTCCATCTTCGGCACTAATGGCGATGAGTTGTACGTGCGTGCCTGGCCGAAAGACAAGTTAGACTGCCTGTATGCGGAACTACGAGCGGCATATCCTGCGTTGCTGTCGGTCAAGGAAGGCCGCCTGCGCGCGTATTGCGAGGGCGAGTACGGTGATGATTCCGGTGTGTCCACGCCCTGGAAGGTGAATGAGCGAGGTGTGTTGGCGGCGGAGACGGTTGAGCGCGTGGCAGAGTGGAAGGTCTTGGAGCGACCCAAGTCCTCGGCCGGGTGCACTGATGAGGGGCGGTCTCGAGTCAATCCGGGACGGTACGCCAGCGCGCGAGCCATGGGTTCTGCGGCGCTCTCGTCTTCTGACTGCTGTCGTGCGCGCTTCTTTGATGTCTCTTGCTGGTCAGAGAGACGACGGCTGATTTGAGGCGGGGAGGTTGGGTGATAAGACAATGGGACGGCTGCCGAGAGTGGGCGGCGATGGGAGAATCTAGTGACACGGGCCTGTTTGTCATTGTCAGTCAGGTCACGGTTGTCCATGGTAAAACTCTATGCTCGCACGCAGAACGCCACGGCGAGCGTCGCCGGAACCTGAGTGAAATGAAGTCGCGCTAACGACGGTGACTAGGCGATTCAGATGGGGTAGGCTTTGGCAAAGCGGGCGAAGGCAGCGAGGGCGGGATGATCAACCAAAAATATGGAGAGACGGGTTGATAACACGGCGAACAGACATGTCCATCAGAGGGCACGGGCGTCCGACTGGCGCTAAAGGGAATCCCGAAACAACAACGCAGACATGGAGACGACTAAAACTTACTATGGCACTTGACTCTTCGGCTGGCGCAACATCACCCGAGCCGCGACGTGTTGGCTCCTGTCTCGCGATTTTCATAAAGACGTCACCGGTCGTGTCGTCGGCATCGGCCTGGCTGGCTGAGTGCGGTGGTGTCATTCTGCGGAAGTCATCGTCGATTCTGCCCTCGAGGGCGCGCAAAGTTCGGTCGCGTTGGTTCGAGTCGGCGAATTCGTCGCCAAAGTCGAAGGAGCGCATGGTGGAGGTGCTGCTGTCGAGTCCCAGACTTCGACGAGACCCTGATGATCGAAAGGAGCGGATGGGAGCGACGCGAACGGAGGTGGTGGAAGCACTGTTGGAGGGAGCTTTGAAGGAGACGGGTGGTCGCGACGTTACGGATTGGCGTCGCTCATCTGTCGGGCTCGTTTGCTGCAACGTTTTGGGGAGCAGCAATTCGCGCTGGCCGTGGGACCTGTCCTTTGTTTGTCCGTCGGCTGGAGAAAGCACCTCGTCGCTTGCGTCGGAGGGATGCGGGTGATGGGTGTCTAATGGCGATATCGCGGTATCGATAACATTTGACTCGCGAGATCGAGAAGTAACCGTCCTGCGGATGTGCAACCTAGTAGGGCCAGAAGTCTTTGACTCTGCGACGCCGACGTTTGAAGCCTGGACGATGACGGGACCGTCGGGAAACGATGCAGGGCGCCGAGGGGAGATGGCTGGGGATGCGGGAGTGGAATGCGAGGCGGTCTGGAATGTTGATGCTCGCAATCGCGGACTCAATTTTGGTGGCGGTTCGGGCAGCTCGTCGATGGGGCTCGAAATTCTAGGTGAAAGTTGGCGATAAGAAGGGCGGCGATCGTGGACGAGTCGCAGTGAGGTCGGACGGGTGTTTTGGCGAGGGCTGGTGGTGGTGTCGGGCGAGTTGTGGTTGAGGTGTGGCTGCTCTGACGTTGTTGTTACGGTTGTCGGGTTTGTGGTGGTGGTGGTCGTTGCGGCTGCGGTTGTGGTTGGGTTGGCGCTGGCAGTGTCAATGGCAGTGGCAGCAGTGAGGCCGATGCCAATGTCAGTTACGGTAGCAGTGTCAGTAACCGTGGCAGTGGCGGAGTGGTTTTCGTCGGTAGCCGATTTAGGCGATACAGGCGAGGGCGGGATGTGCTGCAGTAGTGAGGGGAGCACCAGGCGTGGGGATTGGTTCTTGAAATCGGCGAATCGAAAGGCCGGCAGCTTGGAGGAATTGTGGCTCTGGCGATGCGCGTGGTAGGGCAGGTTGATGTTGGGGTTGGGCGACTCGGCCGGGGAGTTTGTCGTGTCTGAAAGAGAATGGAAGACAATGCTCTGCGAAGACAGCGAGGAAGAAGGAGACGCGGACGCGGACGCGCATGCGGATGCTGAAGCAGAAGAAGACAATGTGGGATTCAATGTCGGGGCCTGGCCCGCAGCTTCGAAACCAGCCGTAGCCATGTTCGCGTCGCTGGGAGTCCGCTTTCGTTCGCTTCTGGGTGCTGCTGCTGCGCGTCTTACCAGGGCTTGTGTTTTTTTTTTTTCTTCCCTTCCTGGTCGTCTCTTCTGTGTGGTGTGCTTTGCTTTGCTGGGTGTGCTGGCAAGGTGCTGGGTTGCCGGGTGCTGTGCTGGGGGTGACCCTTTTCGCTGTCTGTCTCTGACCAACCCCAGTTCACCACTGTCGAGGCCTGTAGAAGTGGACG